CCCCCCCCCGACCGCCACCAGCGGTGTGTGTGTGAGTGAGTGTTTGAGGAGGTGTGCTGCTGCTGCAGCAGCAGCAGCAGCAGCTGCTGCTGCTGCTGCTACTAAGGCATTAAGGGGATAATATATATAATATAATTAAAATAAATAAATTAATTAATAAAAAAATAACTCAAGGAAAAGTTCAGTATATAATTTACACGGAGAAAGGCGCAGCCGACACAGCAGCAGCGGCCTGGCTGCAGCAGCAACAGCAGCAGCAGCAACAGCAGCAGCAACAGCAGCAGCAACAATGTGTAGATGCAGCTTGCTGCTTCAATGTATTTTATATTAATATTTATATATTGACGGAGACAGCAGAAGTTTGCTGCTGATGGTGGCGTATTCCTTTAGATCATCATCATCAATTGCTGCTGCTGCTGCTGCAGCTGCTGCTGCAGCTGCTGCAGACTCATCATTGCCTTGACCACTTAACTCCTTCTTTGCTGCAGCAACAGCAGCAGCAGAAGCAACAGATCTCCTTCTTGTTTTTCTCTCCTTTTTCTTATATTCAATCTGCTGCTGTGTGCAGCAATAAGCCCAGCTGCTGCTGCTCTCTTAGTAATAATCCTTAGGGGGGCCCCCTTTCTTATTGTCTGCTGCTGCTGCAGCTGCTGCTGCTGCGGCTGTTATTCCTCCTGCTGCTGCTGCAGCGGTAGTAGGAAACCCCCCATATTCTGCTAGGGGGCCCCTACTGCAGCAGTACCCTGAGGGCCTTCGAGGGCCCCCAGCATTTGCTGGGGGGCCCCCCTCGAAGGCTTCTGCTGCTACTACTGGTTCTAGCTGCTGCTGCTGCTGCAGCAGCTGCAGCAGATGCCGCGACACAGCAGCAGGGCCCCTGGGGGCCCCACAGCTGATTCTTTGCCTCGTCTTTCTTCCTTAGTTGTTCGTCATTCAGCAAAGATAGGGGATAAAATAAATAATGGATCTGCTGCTGCTGCTGCTGCTGCAGCAGCAGCAGCAGCACAAGCAGCAGCAACAAAAAATATAGCAGGGGTTGGGTTAGGAGCAGCAACAGCAACAAGTGGTATAGAACCATCCCCTGTTTCTCCTGTTGTTCCACCTGCAGCAGCAGCAGCATCTGCTGCTGCTGCTGCTACTGGTGCTTCTCCTGCTGCTGCTGCATGCAGTGTATCCTATGATAGTTTATTCTCTCCTTCTCCTGTTATGCCTCTCCTTCCTCCTCCTCCTCCTCCCCCTCCTCCTCCTGCTGAGCTTCTTGCTGCTGCTCATGCTATCTTAGGGCAGCAGCACCAGCAGCAGCAGCAGCAGCGGGAGCTGCAGCAGGAGCAGGAACTGCTGCAGCAGCAGCAGCAATTTGACAGTCCTGTACCCCTGTTAGGTGCTGCTGATACTATACCTGCTTATCCTTCTCTCCCTGCTGCAGCGCCAAGGAACCTGACTTGCATGCAGCAGCAGCAGCAGCAGCAGCAGCAACGATATGATAGGGGAGCAGCAGCAGCAGCAGCAGCACCTGCTGCTGCTGTTGCTGCTACCTCCTCTCTATCAAGTCAAGTCAGTGTTACGCCTTCTAGCTATACAGAGGCAGCAAGGGCTGCTGCTGCTGCTGCTACCGCTGCTGCTGCTGCTACATCTGCTGCTGCACGCCCAGTCAGCAGCAGCAGCAGCAGCACCAGCCGCACTAGGCTAGTAAACCTCTTACAGTCTGGTGCATCGCAGCAGCAGCAGCAGCAGCAAAGGCAGCAGCAGCAGCAAAGGATGCTGCTGCAGCTCAATACACAAAAGGGAACAACACGCGAGCCTTCGAAGTCTAAGGTGGATTCTGCAGCAGCAGCAGCAGCTGCTGCTGCTGCTGCTGCTGCTGGACCTGCTGAGCCTCACCTCTCTGATTACAAGTACCGCCAGCAGCAGATGCAGCAGCAGCAGATGCAGCAGCAGCAGCAGCAACGGCTGCATGCAGCTGAAGGTCCATCGCAGAGGTGGAGGGAAGTCCTTGAGGCCCCATCTATACAAACATTTGCACCCGAGCAGCAGCAGCAGCAGCAGCAACAGCAGCAGCTGGTGCAGCAGCAGCTGCAGCGTGAAGGAGTTGAGGAAGAAGCAGGCAGCAGGAGATGCGGCAGCAGAGGAAATCTGCTGCAGCCACCAAGCCCTCTCCAGCCCCAGCAGCAGCAAAAGCAGCAGCAGCAGCAGAAGCAGCAGCAGCAGGAGCAGCAGCAGCAAATGCGTCCGCCTGCAGTTGCTGCTGTTAGGGACGGGAGAGCTCCTTCTCTTATGCAGCACTACAGTACCTCTGGTGCTGAGAAGGCTCGAGGGTACCGCAGCAGCAGCAGCAACAGCAGCAGCAGCAGCAGCAGCAGCAGCAAAGGTATCTCTACAAGACAAGAAAATCGCTCAACTAGCCGATCGGTAGGCAGAGGAAGCAGCAGCAGCCCCCTGAAGCAGCACCAGCAGCAGCAGCAGCTGCTGCTGCTGCAACAGCAACGTCTACTGCAGCAGCAGCAGCAGCAACAGCAGCAGCAGCAGCAGCAGCAAGCAGGGGGACTCCTAGGTGCCATGGGTGCAGTGTGGGGCCGCGTAGTAGAGAGACTGATTGCCCCTGGGCAGGAGGACAGCAGCAGCATAATCCGTCTTACTAGCAGCAGCAGCAGCAGCAGCAGCAGGAGTAAAGAAGCAGCAGCAGCAGCAGCAAGAGCACGCAGAGCTTCTGTTGAGGCCATGCATGCATTACAGCAGCAAAGGGAAAAAAGAAACAGCAGCAACAACCGCAGCAGCAGCAGCTGCAGCAGCAGCAGCAGCAACATTGCTACTGGTAGGAGCGGGAGTAGGGGGAAGAAACGCGAAGATGTACAAGTTGACAGCAGCAACAGCAGCAGCTGCAGCTACAGCAGCAGCAGGCGCAGCAGCAACAGCAGCAGCAATTGCTCAGCTGAATTGGTGCAGCAGATGCATGCAGAGGTGCAGCAGTTAGATGAGGAAGAAGAGAGAAGACAGCAGCGCCGCATGCAAAAACAGCAGCAGCTACTGCAGCAAGAACAACAGCAGCAACGGAAGCAGCAACAGCAACAGCAACAGAAGCAGCAGCAACAGCAGCAGCAGCAGCAGCAGCAGAGGCAGCTGCGCAGGGCAAGCCAAAGCCCTGCTGCACAAAGGTGCAGCAGCAGCCGCAGCAGCTGCCGCAACAGCGGCACAAGAGTTCGCAAGACTAACAGCAGCCACAGCAGCAGCAGCAGCAGCAACAGCAGCAGCAGCAGCAGCAAGGAGGAGGGGGCTCCAAAGCAAGAGGCCCCTAGTGCTGCTGCTGCAGTTCTATCTAATTTAGGGGAGACAGCACGTGTGCTGCTGCAGGCTGCTGCTGCTGCACCAGTTGCTGCAGCAGCAGCAGCTGTTGCTGCAGTTGAAGCAGCAGCAGGAGAAGGTGATGATTGGGAAGAAGAGCAGCAGCAGCAGCAGCAATCATCATCATCAGCAGCAGCAGCACGCGATGGCTCAAAGCGTTCCTCCTCCTCATCAGCAGCAACAGCAGCAGCAGCAGCAGCAGCAGCAGCAGCAGGTGGCCCTACGAACAGCAGCACATCAACAGATCTATCAGCATCAGCAGACCCATCAACATCATCATCAGCAGCAGCAGCAGCAGAATCAGCATCAGCATCAGCATCAGCATCAGGAGCAGCAGCAGCAGGAGGAGGAGGAGGAGGAGCAGCAGCAGCAGCAGCAGATTTTAAGGAATGGGTATCTGTAGGTATTTTATGGGAAGAATTACTAAAAGAAGAAAGATGTGTTGAATATTCACAAACCCTTTCTTCTCTTTATTCAACATTCGCTACCTCACATCCACAGTAAATTAGGGTTTAGGGTTTATAAGGGTTTATGAGGGTTTATGAGGGTTTATGAGGGTTTATTAGGGTTTATTAGGGTTTATGAGGGTTTATGAGGGTTTATGAGGGTTTAGGGTTTATTGGGGGTTTATTAAGAGTTATGAGGGTTCATGAGGGTTTAGGGTTTATGTTTGTTTATTCATGTGTGTTGTGTATATATAAATTTATATAATAAGTGTTTATTAGTGTTTATTAGTGTTTATTAATGTTTATTAATGTTTATTAGGGTTTATTAGGGTTTAGGGTTAATTAGGGTTAATTGATGATAATTATTTATGTTATATAATTATATATAATATATATAAATAATAATATTAATAAATATTTATATATAATAAGGATATATATTTTGTTTTTATAATTTTTAAAAAATTAGGGTTTAGGGTTTAGGGTTTAGGGTTTAGGGTTTAGGGTTTAGGGTTTAGGGTTTATGTTTAGGGTTGGAATGAGTCGTGTTGAATTTTTGCGTTTATTCAAAAATTTTAATTTTTGTTTACCACAGATTCAACATCAACATTTCTTATTTGATGTAAATTATTCTTGCTGCTGCTGCTGCTGCTGCTGTTGCTGCTGCTGCTGCTGCTGTCTGCTGCTGCTGCTGCTGTCTGCTGCTGTTGTAGTTGTTGTTGTTGTTTGCTGCTGCTGCTGTTGCTGTTGTTGTTGTTGTTGTAGGTGATGGTGATGTTGCTGCTGCTGTTGCTGCTGCTGCTGCTGCTGCTGTTGCTGCTGCTGCTGCTGTCTGCTGCTGCTGTCTGCTGTTACTGCTATTACTGTTGCTGCTGCTCTTTCTGGTATTGCTGCTGCATTAACATCTGCTGCTGCTGTTGCTGCTGCTGCTGTTGCTGTTGTGCTGCTGCCTCTTCCTCTTCTCTTCCCCAATAAGATATTAATATACTGCTCCTTCTGCTTGTCTTCTTGCTGCTACACTTGCTGCTGCTACACTTGCTGCTGCTGCACTTGCTGCTGCTGCACTTGCTGCTGCTGCTGCTGCTGCAGGCAATAGATCGTAAGGGTTTAGGGTTTGTATCATTGAAGGATTTCCGTTGGGGTTTGTTTTGCTGCAATCCTCATCTTATACAAGATATTAATAAGGCTAAAGGTATTCTTCTTCCTGCTGCTGCTGCT